GAGAGGGAACACAAGCAGGGGGAGTGGGAGAGGGAGAAGCAGGCTTCCCGCTGAGCAGGGACCCCGATGTGGGGCTTGATCCCAGGACCCTGGGACCATGACCTGAGCTGAAGGCAGACGCTTAATGACTGAGCCACCCAGACGCCCCCCTCCCCCATTCTCTTAAAAATCAACTGGACATTTGGCTGTGTATTCAGTGGCCCTTTCTAGGGGAGGTGGTTGGCTAGGTGCTCGAGAAAAGAGGTAAAACCAGGTCGAATGCACACTGAGGGAAGCAGACCCCAGTGCAAGAAGCAAAGGTAGACTGTGGCAACGTTCCAAGTGCCCAACTGAGGGCAAGGTTGGTCCTAAATGGACTTGAGACTGGTTTGAAGATTACAGGTGGGTAGCATTTATCCAGATGGAGAGTGGGGAAAGTGGGAGTCCCAGGCAGAGGGGAGGGTGGGATGCAGGTAACAGCCAGCATTGTGAGCTCACAGAGCATCTCCCAGAAAGGGAGCCTGGGTGGGTTTTCTGGACATGATGTTCACACTTTGTCCTGGGACACCGGCCAGGCCGGTGTGGGGGGAGGGGGGGAGGGCTGAAATGCGGCCAGGTCCTGCAAGAGATGGGCATGGGGAGAGGGCGGGGAGAGAGCTCTGGATGCTGGTGCGGGAGGCTTTCACCCACTGGGACCACTCATGCCTGAGTGGTCGGGTCTGTCCAGGTGCTGTGACTCACGTTGTGATCTCAGAGGAGCTGCTGAAGGGCACAGGGAAGGGAGCCCAGGCCTAGAGGACTCCTGAAGCTGGTATTTGCCCTGAGTTCTAAGATTCTGTGCCCACACCCCTCTGTTGTCCTGGAAACGAAGACCCAGATCTTTCTTGTGGTTTTTAAATCCTCTCTGTATCAGTGGCTGTTTCCCACTTAAGTTTTCTGTTCCCGCAATGCAGGCTTGTGGTTACAGGATCCTGAACAGAGCTGACAGCATTTCCAGAAATGGGGAATCATGGAGAAATAAAATTTTAATGGAATGGGACAGCTGGGGGAGTGGAGAGTGATTTTTTAAATACTCCATTTTGCTATAAGACCTAAAATTGTGAAATAACTGGGTTGATCTTAAAATCGGCGTGTTACATCTATTTAAGTCCTCAGAAAATTACTTTTTTCCTTTTCTGAACGTTCTTGTGTCTAGTGCTAGGGATCTGTGGGAACCCAGGATGCCAGGAGGCACCCAGAGCTTGCCAGGGCCCAGGGCTAGAAGTGCCCACCTCCCCCAAAGTCTCAAGCCCAGCCAGCTGTTGAGCCTCTGCTCTTACCTGGGAGATTCTATTGACAGGTTGGCAAGGCAATTGCCAGGTCCCAGGGTCAAAGGTCACAGCCTGGACAGTAAACATGCAGATTGCTTGATTCATCCTCAGCTTCCTGGGCTCTGCAGCACTAGCTCTAAGGAGGGCAGTAGAGTTGACTTTTCAGAGGCCAGGGCTGATGGGTCCAGAGGACAGCCAGCCCTGGGTCCCTCTTCCTTCCGGCCCCAGCCTCGCTGGCCAGGCCTTGGCTCCCTAGTGTGCTCCCCTCTTCAAACTCAAGCTTGTCGGCCATCTTCCCTGTCTCTCTGCTCATCTTTGCTCCTCATCAGACATTAGATCCGTAGAGCTAGATGCTTGGGCTGTGTCAGGCCTGAGCCCAGAAAGAGGCTGGGTGGGGCCCTGGTCAAGCAGGTGGGTCCAGGTGGGGAAGAGGGAGCCGTTTCTCCATGGGTCCTTGTCCCCAGTCGCAGGTTTGTTCTCCAGGATACCAAGAGTCAGAGGGTAGATGCCCTAGCTCTGGTTTCTCACGTTGGTTCTCAGCTGGGTAGGTGTTTCAGAGCTAGGAGGTTGGGGTGGGGCTAGTGGCCATGTTTTTCTTCTTCCCTGCAGGAGTAGAGTGAGGCATCTAGTTAGGTAGCTTCTTTCCCAGAAAAGGCCTGAATTGGGCAAATACAGCCAGTAGTTGGGGAAAGGAGGGGGGAAAGGAAAAGAGAGCAGGGAGGAAGGAGGCAGATAGTGGCATTGGCCACGTCTTTCATCACCACCACCCTCTGCCTGGCAGGGCCCAGGATGAGGGTCACTCTGGCATTCCAGAAGAACAGTGCCTTCCTTCTCCCTGACCGGGCACTCCTGTCTTCCATCTGCTATGGCTGCTGCAGGTCAGAGCCTGATAATGTCTCTTGCTGAGCTCCGCGGAGAACAAGGCCCCCATGTTGAGGAAGGAGGTCGCGCAGACCCTGCTTTGAGCTTTGGCCGTCCAGAAGGCTGCAGAGCGGCCCTCAGCTTGGGCGAGTCATGGCCGCACTCCACTCCAGAGTGGCTCCCAGCATGTGTCACTGTCACTCTGACCACAGCAACACCTGTCCTGCCCGCTCTGCACTCCTGCATCCATGGCAGCAAGGCGCCTTCTTACCCGCATGGCCCCTAACCCCCTGCTCTGTTCTGTGACAGGCGCCCAAAGACCGCGCCGCTCCTGCCGCACCAACTGTTGATGACACCGTGTCACCTGATGGTGTCCCTCCCCGCTGTGCTAGTCCCCCCTGTGTCACTAGCATGGCGTCAGTTCAGGTTTGTGCCTCCTCACCCTTTGCCTACCGCCCCACTCGATGTTCACCCCCTCCTCCTCCTCAGAGGACTGGACCTGCTTTGGGTCCTCTTCCCCTTTCTTCAGGGAGCTTGGTTCCTTCCGGAGGACTGAGGTGGGGGAGGCCGAGACTAGGTCTTTCCTTGAAGTCTGGGGAGTTGGCAGGTTGTCAGAAGGCGCTTGCCTCCCCCCACCCCTGGGTGGTCTTACCAGCAATTGAGTGACCACCTCATGTGTTTCTTCCTGAGCAGAGTCATGATGCAGAAAATGGCCCTTTCCTCATGGATGAAAGCAAGTGAGTATCTCCTATGGGGGCAGCAGTCCCTAGGCCGAGGGAGTCGGGGTAGGCCACTGCCTGCGACCTCCTCTTTCCCATTGAGCCTCCTGCACCCCTGACTCCCGTGTTCGTCCCCAGATGTGTGTCATCTACCGAGAGCCTGCGACAGCTATCTCAGCAGCTCAATGGTCTTGTGTCTGAGGTACCCCAGGAATTGAAACCCAAGGTGGGGGGTAGATGGGGGGATATGACAGAAAGAATGAGGCAAGGTTCCCAAGTGGGACGGAAGAGCCCGGGAGCAGCCAGCTTGTTGGGCAGTGTTTAGCTCGGCAGGACTCCTCTGAGTCATCTTTGAAGCTCCCCAAATTGAAGGGGTTGGACCTCGAAGCTGAAGCTGGTTATGTCATTTGATCCCTCTGCAGGAAGCACAGAATGAGAGCTGCCTGGGAGGGGACGGATGAGGGGGAGATAAGAACCAGGAGGAATTGGCACAAAGGGGTTAGGCAGAACAATGTGCAGCTAATGGGCAGGCCAGGGAGTCGGATGGCTTAGGTCCTGAGGGGGGGCAGAGCGCACCTCCATGTGAGCCCTTTCGTGTCTCCTAGCCTTCATCCTACATCAATGGAGAGGGCCTGGCATCATCTGCTAATATGAAGGATCTGGAGGTAAGTGGGTCTGGACCGTGGCCCAGTGACCCTGCAGGCCAGCCCCCCACCACCACCTCCCACAGTGGGGGCTGGGTGCCCCGCTGCCAGCTGAGACAGCCCAGACAGCCCCCAACCCTAATGACTGCTCTCTCTACCTCTCCCCCCGCCCTCGTCCAACTCCTCCTCCTCCTCCTCCTCTGCATGCGCCTCAGAGCCGGTACCAAGAGCTATCACTAGCCCTGGATTCCAGCAATCTAACAAACAAACAACTCAGTAGCAAGATAGAGGAATTGGTAAGAGTCCAGTGGGGTCCCCTGATTCCACACTGCCAATCTGGGGCTCCAGTTTCTCCCTGGGGCTCTGAAGAAAGGGACTGGGGGCCCCTGGTGCCAAGGGAGAATGGGGTGCCGGGGGGCCTAAGTCTCCATTGGAGGGACCCCGGAGCACGGAGCATGCAGCATGGCTCTCTGTGGCTGCCCTCTTTGCCTCCTCTCTGTTCTCCAGACACCCCTGCTTGGATCCTCCCCGTACTTGCCCCGGGGCTCTTGCCTCTGGAGGAAGCACTGGTTTGACTGGTGCGCTCTGGCCTTGACTCTCAGCCCCTAATTTGCTCCATCTTTCAACTCGGACCAGTCACCTTTTCTCTCTGGGCTTCCGTTTCCTGAGGAGGTAGAATTAGAGGTGGCCAAGGTCCCTTTTAGCTCAGAAAATCAGGTCCTTCTCATTCCTGTATCCCTGCTATTAAGAACAGAACCTGGCCTGGTGGGGCATGCTCAGTAAATATTTGTGAATGAATGCACCCTTCTGAACCACGAACTGACAGAAGGGTAGTCTAGTCTCACTTCTCAACTCCCATTTCTGGAGGTTTAGGTCCTTGTCCTTTCATGGGCATCTGGATCCAGACTCTCACTTGCGTAGCTGTGAGCAAAGCCACTTAAGACCCAAAGTCTCTTTCCTTGGGAGCTTGAGGAGAGTCTGTCAGTTCATGTCCCCGTGAACTTTCCCTTTAAAACCCGTTCCTGGCCCCTGCCCATCCTCCGTCTTGGTGTGGGGAGGGTAGTAAAGGGGGACAGACTGAGTTACCTTCCTTTGACTCTCCCCACAGAAACAGCAGAACCAGGAAACTTTGGATCAACTGGAAAAAGTAATGTGATTTCTTTGCTGATTACATGGCAGATGGGTTTGGGGAGGATTCAGATGTAGAGGCCCATTCTCATCTTGGTCTGCTCCTAGCCTGGAGGAATAAAAGGCCCCCTCGTCCCCCACCCCCTCCCCATCC